CATTAACCAAAATGGAGAACCTGGTGGTTTTAATACAGAACTCAATCCACTTGAGCCATATAGGGCCAAAATCCATTTGTCTAAGAATGTTGATCAGGAAGTCCCAATTAAGATGGTCATAGGCTTTTTCAATATCCAGTTTGCACATTACCCCTGGCACATCTCCTCTAATCCTAGTATCAGTACATTCACTAGCAATTAAAGCAACATCCATTATTTGTCTCCCTTTAATGAAAGTCATTTGATTTTTGTTGACTAGCTTGTCTATCACCTTCTTCAGCCTTTCTGCCAACACTTAGGCAATTATTTTATAAACCCCAGTAATGAGACTGATTGGTCTAAAGTCTCTTAGATCATTTGCCTGCGCCTTCTTAGGAATTTGAGCCACAAAGGTAGCATTGAAACTCTTCTCAAAACTTTGGTGACAGTGAAAGTTTTGGAAGGTCTGCATCAGATCTTCCTTTATGGTTTCCCAGAATGCCTGAATGAAGACCATGGTGTAACCATCAGGCCCAGGTGCTTTATCACAAGCACACAATCTTATCCCTTCTAGCACCTCATCCTCACTGAATTCTCTAGATAACCAGCTCTGCTCCTCCATTGTTATTCTCTGTACGTTAAGAATATTTAGTGTGGGTCTCCAGTTTTCTACCTCCTTATACAAATGGTGGTAAAAATCCACAATAGAGTTCTTGATTTCCACTGGCTCAGAGGATAACTCTCCATTAATCATTAATGACTCAATGGTGTTGATTCTCTTGTGAGCTATTGCCATTCTGAGGAAATACTTCGTATTTTTATCGTCATTCTTGATCCACTGAATTCTGGACCACTGTCTCCAAAAAATTTTGTTCATTTTTTGCCACCTCCTCGTATTTGGAGACGAATTTAAAGACATTTGTGTCGTATTAAGTGTTCAATGGTGCTGCCATTGTGCCCATTTTATTTATGTTTGTTGGCTGCTTCTGTACGTTACGACAGGCAGACTGCATTTAGCAATTAGCACTACCTTGTAATGGCTGCCCTAGACATTGTGAATTTGTGGTTACTTGTGCCTTGTAAATTGTAATGGCTGCACATAGTAAATTATGTCTTGTGAATTTGTGAGGCTGACTGCTTTTCAGGGCGGGCTGGCAGCTAGTGCCTAGAGCTGGCTGCTTAACTAGTAGCTGCTAAGTATGTGCAGTCTTAGTAGGCGTTTGGCCATGCGATACCATATCACGATATGGAATCGTGAGATGGAATCAGCGTTTGGACATGCGATTTCACGTTGATTTCTTCTCATGAGATGGAATACCATATTCTCCAAATATCATGATATGGGAATTTCATATCATGATTTGGGATTTTTAAATACAAAAACTGATCCATAAGTTTATATTTTGTTAAAACAACCCCACATTTATATTTACTAATCATTTATTTCATATGTAAATAAAATTTATAATCACATCATTACTTCTTAAAATTTATTATTCTCACCAACATAAAATTTATTGTTACTTTAAATTTAATTAATATAAATGATAAAGTAGGAATTGATTTGGTGAATATAAATAAGAACGGAGGGAGTAATACTTCTTTGTTTTTTCATAATTAAAAAAAAAACTTCTCTTTCGGCTACATATGAAAATGTTTAAAACAATTTAATATGAAAAAAAGACAAAATTGATGATGTATGTTTGATAATCACTACTTCCTATATGTTTGATTTTAGTACGAAATTAATGCACTAAAAATGTGTAATTGCACACAAGTGAAACAAGATATGAACCATTATGATATTGACACACAAATGAAAATTGGCATAGCTTGTGCAGTGTTACATAATTATTTGCGAGAATAACAAAGGAGTGATGAAACATTTATGGTCTATGAGCATGAAAATATAGTTGTGAATGATATTGACCAACAAATGACTCAAAGTAACAATGTTGGTTCGTCTTCTTGGTCATATGATCGAGAAATGCAAGTTCAACATGAGGAGATTGTCCATACTATGTAGGGGATATATTAAGAACTAGTACACTACGATTCATGTTCAATTTTTTTATTGAATTAAAGTTAGATAAAACAATTACTTAAGTGGAGAACAAATAGCTTTATAATAATTTATTATGCAATTTTATCAATTTTTGTTTATTTGATAAGAATGAATAAACAATTGGGGATATTTTAATAGTTTTACAACTTATGGGATTCTTATGTTTATTAGAAAATATACAACACAAAAATTCCATATCGCATATCCAAACAAAACTTCAATTTCATCTCATGATTTCATATTATGATATCATATCATGATTGCATATCACGATTCCATATCGCGTGGCCAAACGGGCCCTTAGTCTCTTAGATGGTGCAAATATGTTACCCCACATTTAAATGTTTGAAGTCTTTTAGTGTTTGATTTGATCCTCATTTTATTCCACGCATTTGCACTGAAAAAAACATTTTAGAAATACCAAATTGAACCGATCTAATTTGGTTTGGTGTTCGGTGCACACTTCTCCATAACAAAAGTTTTGATAAAACCGAACCAAAGAATTGAACGGGCACCCCTAGTCACAAACCAGCAGAATCGCCTATTGAAAGCAACCACAAATTACAGAGCAGAGTTGGTAGAGTCAATTGATAAGGAGAGATATCAGAGGCTGGTTAGAAGACTCGGTTATCTCTTTCATACTAGACCAGACATAGCCTGGTGAGTCAGTTCATGCATGATCCCTAAGATCCTCATATGCAAGTTATCTTTCACATTTAGCGGTATCTAAAGTCGGAAAAGGTCTACTTTTCTTAGAACATGGTCACCTCCAAATGATGTCACACATTGCATTGGGGCGACATTTATGAAATGGAGGCTTGTGTGATTAGAAGGTACCTCCAAGTTAGGTAAGTTCTACAGAGTGGTGGTTAGACCGTCCTTGTTGTATGGGGTGGAGTGTTGGCCAGTCAAAAACTCACATGTTCAAAAGATGCATGTTGCGGAGATTAGGATGTTGAGATGGATGTGTAGGCATACTAAGAGAGATAAGATTAGGAATGAGCTTATCCAGGAGAAGGTGGGGGTGGCCTCTATGGCGGACAAGATGAGAGGTGAGATTGAGATGGTTCGGGCATGTGTAGCACTGACGCCCAAATGAAGAGCTTCATATTACCAAGAACATGACTCTAGATAGGAAGGAGTGGAGGTCACATATTAGGGTAGAAGGCTAGTATAGGTAGATTGTTCTATTGTCTTGCGTAGGTTTAGGCTTATTAGTGCATGTCGTAGTACTAGTCATACCATTGTAGTTCTTGCCATATTTTGTTTCTTTCTTGTAGACTTTACAATGTTTTTCTTATTAACGGTTGTGCTTTCCTTATTGTTTTCTTCTTCTCTTACTTGGGTTTGATGCACTTGAGCCGAGGGTCATTCAGAAATAGTCTCTTTTACCTCCATGAGGTAGTGGTAAGGTCTGCGTAAACTCTACATCCCCAAACCCCACTTATGGGGATTTCATTGGGAATGTTGTTGTACAGACGCTGATTGGGCTAGATCTCTAGATGACAGAAGATCTACATTTGGTTACTGTACACTCATAGGAGGAACCCTAGTCACCTGTAGAAGGAAGAAGCAAAATGTAATTGCTAGATCAAATGCGGAGGCAGAATATAGAGCTATGGCCCTAGGTGTTTGTGAAGTTTTGTGGTTACAAAAGGTTCTAGAGGAATTGAGATTGTCTGAAAAAGAGAAACCTCCCTTGTATTGTGACAACAAGGCTATCAATATAGCTTAAAATTAAGTCCAACATGATTGAACAAAGCATGTTGAAATTGATTGACACTTCATCAAAAAAAGTAATACAATTGGTGTCGTGAGTTTGTTCCATTTATCATGAAAAAAAAAAACAGCAAGCTTATGTGTTTACCAAAGGCCTCAAGAAACGGATATTTTATACACTGGTTTGCAAGTTGGGCATGTGCAACATTTTTGCACCAACTTGTGTGTGTGTGTGTGTGGGGGGGGGGGGGGGGGGGGTGATTGATGTTGATAGCTGAATTATAGGAGTAGGATGATATTATATTTAATCTAATTGATTAGAAATTGATTGTGTAGTATTGGCTTTCCTTATTTAGTCTAGGACTCATAAAGTATAAATCCCCATTTTCATGGGTTGTATATTCATAAAGAAATACAAAGAAGCTTCCTCTTCTAGAAATCTTTAGGGAGAACTTAATTGGGATAGGCCCATTATTTCTAGGGAGATTTTATGGGTAAATCACAATTGAACCATAATCAATAAGCAAACGATTAGACAACACAAGGAGTGTCCATCAACGAAAGCAAACCAACTAGGGGATACAACCATAGCATCTTTTATCACTTGATTTGAACTCTTCTTCTTTACTGGTTTGCTTAAAATTCTATTGCAATCTTAGTTTTAGTTTAATTGAAAACCCAAATAAATATTAGAATTGGACTAAGATTGAAGAGATTTCTTACTACTAGGCACACCTAGACATTGCTCCTTGCGGGATTCAACATGGATTCACATCCAATTATAGTTGCAATTGAACGCTTAGTCTATTCAGAACTTGAGTTGCATGATAAAGTGCTTTCAACTCAACACTAAAAGCTGCCAGTGAAGGAAACTCAACCATGAAATCATAGCTCACTTACAAAGTGTTATAAAGAACTCTTGTATATAACATAATTCGCAATTGCTGATCATCCTGAAGGCAACAGATAAGCAATTGAAATAAGCATTGCCTCTGAGTGAATTGATTGGCTTTCGAGACATGAAGAAATGTTCATTTATATCATAACCCCATCTACACCAATTTTAAAGTTGGTCATCAAACAATATATTAACATAGATCATGAACAAATATTCGAAGAACATTAAATAGTGGATTGGCGGGTGGAATTACACATCGAGGTAAGCCCCAAAAAACATTTTAATTACTGTTTCAATTTCCATTTCAAAAGGAGCTCTATAGTCTTTCTTTTAAAGCCAAAAAGAAATATCACACCAAAGAAATCCATTAATCGGGCAAAAATGCCACCAATACAAAAGAGAAAAAGCAAACAGGATGATTTGAACATACCTTGAAATTACTAAAAGAAACTGTTCACCTAATTTCCAAATTCCTAAGGAAGTCCGAGAGCCTGAGGAAACCAGTAACATGGAAGAGCGAATCAAATGATGATCATAAACCAAAGCAAAGTATAACACCATGTAAGAGAGTGAGTTGTCAAATCATGAAGAAATAAAAGTTCCAAGGATATATGACCTGATATTTTTAGCGATTACTGTGCTACCATCTTCAGAACCAAGATGGCGTAGTACCACTTCCTCCAGACGACCATCACGGTGTTGATGCTGCAATAGGAGACCACAATGTCCATAATAAGCATCTTAAACAAAAATATCAAAATGTGAACAAAGACAAAAGATGGGAAATATAAAGGAGAAACATTGCTAACATGATGTAATATCACTATTCTTGAGCAAAAAAATGTCTAAATTTGATCACGAATCTCCTTTCATGAGAGAACTTATCCTTCAATTTGTGTGAAGGTGGATTGCATTTGATTTGCATGGAAACATCAAAAACTAAACTTTCCACTTCTTTGTTATTCAATATTACCAGTGGAAACTAAACAACCAAAAAATCAACAGACTTGGGATAAACTATCATCAAGACAGACTGGAAAAGTAAAGAAAATGTAGCTAGGCTGAAACTAATAAGCATGAATCTCACAAAACACTGATGTGTCATATGTTTTGAAGATCACATCATATTAATATCTTTGGACACATCAGATTCAAAATTCCAAACTTGAAAATGTTAGACGCAGCAACCCAGACCTACAAAGGTTAACTACATCAATATCCTACTTTGAAATCATTCTATCAGAATTCTAACGCCTAGCAAAAAGGTTATTGCCTCAACAGACCAGAAGGAAGTTCTTAATGATCGGGGGAGATTGTTAAGAATTATAAAATCATTAAAATGGCAAGAGCCGTTTCCTTGTATGTATAGGAAAGGTTTAGAGTCACGATAATTATGCAAATAGACATAAGAATTACTAGGCATCACTTTCCTTCCTGTTTAAGGACCCCAATATGCTCGAGGTATTGATCAAGCAATTCATTCTTAAATCTCTTATTTCTTTGCATGATATCACATATTAATCAATATTCGATTGATTGGTCTGAGGTTATCGACAAAAAAGATTTGTCTAAGTCACTAGTTTTTTTGTCCAAGTTGCTTTTAGGTTTTTTTTTTTTTTGAGAAGGTAACAACTTGTATTCTATTCCAAAACAAAAAACCAGAACCTGCCACAACAAATTACAGGTTCCTAATTACAATTGTGGAGAGTAGCTGGAAGATCTTTAATCCTATAGCAAAATTTACAAGGAACCTAAAACATCTGTAACGATCATAGATCTACCATGTACTCCTGTTTACACCAAAATAGAAATAAAACTAAGCAGTTCATCTTAATCTTCTGGATGGAATTACTCTTGTTTTGGAAGCATCTGTGATTTCTTACTTTCCACACAGACCACCAGATGCAAGCCGGAATGATTTTCCATCTTTCTTTATGCCCAGTAATGCTTGCATAACTGCTCCATATCTTCAGAGTCTGCGTAAGCTTCCTAGGCATAACCCATTTCATGCCCTTCAGATTGATAAAAACATTCCACAAAATGTTGGTTATTCTACAGTGAAGGAAGAGATGGTTGATAGTCTACTTCTTCTTCACCACATAGAAGGCACCTAGGACTCAGTTGAATATTTCTTTTCATAAGATTTTCCTGGGTCAAAACTGCCTGCTTAGCAAGGAGCCAAATAAAACAAGTCACTTTGTAGGAGATTTTAGTTTTCCATATCAGCTTCCATGGCCACCCATTCCTCTGACTGTTACAAGGATTAAACTTTTTTTACGCTCTTCTAACACTGAAATTGTCCTGATTGTGATCCTGCCTTCCCAAACTATCTTGTGCATCAATAGTTTCTTTGAACTGCCCCAAGACCTTGTAAAACTCCACCAACCTTTGGATTTCTCAGTCATTTAGAGGTCTTCTAAAACTCAGATTCCACCCTTGGTTTGACCACATCTCTACCACAGTGGCCCTTTACTAGGGTGAAAATATCCAAGGACAAGGTTTTTAAAGATCCTTGTTCTAGCCATCTATCTTCCCAAAAAGAGGTTTTCCTACCATTACCCAATTTAATACTGCAGTTTCCTCTGAGCTTTGGCCAATGGTTTTTGATGGCTCTCAAATGGCTTGATCCGTAAGTGTTAGTGACCATTTTAGTTATACAGAGATCCTCCATTTCATATTTGGCATGTATTACATCTTTCCACAGAGCTTGCTCACTGGAAGAAAATCTCCATAGCCACTTCATCTTTTTAAATTCCTTATCCCCATCCCCCCTGCATGTTTACTCTCAATCAGAGTATCCCACTTAGCCAAGTGGAATTTCTTGGTTTCACTATTTCCTTCCCACAGGAAGTTCCTCCTCTAAGCATCAAGCCTGTCAATAACACCATCAAGAATAGGGAAAAGCGACATCATATAGGTAGGCATAGGGTCCAAAACACTGTTGATGAGTATTAATCTTCCTGCTAAAGAAAGGTACTAGCTCTTCCAATTCGCCAACCTTTTTTCACATTTTTCAGTCACCCCATTCCAGATGCCTATAGATTTGCTTTTGGCTCCCAAGGGCATCCCCAAGTATATAGTTGGTCTAACTCACTTCATTTTTTCTATGTGAGTTTCGAAAATAACCCATTCATAGGTTCAAGATCTGCACCTATGAATTGAAAGGTTTGAATGATCAAATGACCGTGTCATCAAATGACCTTTGACATGTTACACCTGGTTGATTGGATGGAGTTAACGCTAGGTTGGAGGTTTGGAGACAAACCATAGAATCTAAACAATTCAAGTTGAGCCGGAGTGTAAGTTCAGTGATGCCTCATATGAGGGAGGCGTGGAAGTAAGGCTTGATACACAGGTCATTCCCAAGAGAGTCGTTTTCAAGTATCATAGGTCTTTAATCCAAGGTAATAGGGAGATTGACGATGATGTCACACATCGTATTGGTGCGGTTGGATAAAATGGAGCCTCACCTCAATAATCTTGTGTGATAAAAAGGCCACCAAAACTTAAGGTAAGTTCTACGGAGTTGGTTAGACAACCTACTTTGTTGATAAAGTGTTTGTCCATCAAGAACTCTCATGTTCAGATGCAAGTTGCAAAAATGAGGATGTTAAGATTGATGTATAGGCATACTAGAAGAGAAAAGATCAAGAATGAGGATATCAGGACAAGGTGGGAGTGGTCTTTGTAGTGGACAAGATGCGGGAAGTGAGTTTGAGATGGTTTGGGAATGTGAAGAGAAGAGGTGTAGATGCCCAGTGAGAAAGTGTGAGAGGTTGGATATAGTGGGGTATGAGGAGAGTTAAAGGTAGGTCGAAGAAGTATTGGGGAGAGATAATTAGGGAGAACATGGCACAGGTTCATCTTACAAAGGACATGACCTTAGATAGGAGCGTATGGAGGTCGCTGATGGTAGAAAATTAGTAGGTAGTTGAGCTTTGTCCCATTTTTCAGCATTATTAAGCTTGGTGGGAGTCTAGAAGCACCATGTATGGTGTAGTATTAGCCTTGTACATGACTACATGTAGTTTCTTACTTTTGATAGTTGTCACCATCTTGTCTTTAGTGTTTCAGTTACTACAGTATTTTGTTGTTATTGTTCTTTCTATGGATGTTGATCCTGCTTTCCGTATTAATTGACTTGTTTTCTCTACTGTCATATTTCCTTTTTCATTTTGATTTGAAGCACTTGAGCCAAAGGTCATTCAAAAAGAACCTCTCCACCTCCATGAGGTAGGAATGAGGTTTGCGTACACTTTACCCTCCCTAGACCACACTTGTGGATTACATTGGGTATGTTGTTGTTGTCGTTTGTATTAGAGCCAAGGACTTTAGCCCCTACTCTGACAGTTCCTTCTTTCTTCTCCTCTAATTCTTTTTCTGCTCAAGAAACCAAAAAAGAAAAAGGAAATTGGTTGAACGAGGATGAGATATCAATTCTCAGTTTTCGGCTAAGATCCAAAGGTCAATTTTAACAAAATTAGCTCACCCATCCTCCCGCAGTCTCAAGAAACACACCACCGACAAACGCACATGAGGTTCAACATGCCCCTAGACACTCTCACCACCATCTTACGCACCAACACGTGACTCTTCTCCAGCTTTCGATCGAAAAACACTTCAAGCTCACTTGGCTACTCTACACCACCCTATCACCTCTGTTCCGACAAAGCCTGTATTGATCCATTGAAAATTTGGAGCAGTTTCTCGATTTCTTGTTCTTATGAAGTTTGAGTTTCTCTGGTTCTTTATTTTGTTTCATCCCCTTATTTTTGTTTAAGAGATACGAAAAAAACATAGTTGAAAAGTAGGTTCAAGTTGTTGAAAATCATCTTTCATGAAACCTTTGATTACATTCACACCTATTATTACTATTTCAAAATTAGAAAGTCGTATTCCCTCAGTTTTAACTTATGTGTCTTACTTTCCTTTTTGGTTTGTCTCAAGAAGAATGTCATTTTCTATATTTAGTAACCCTTTGATTTCAACATCTTCAAAAAGACATTTTTGTACATTATACACATCTCTTGTTCAAGTATACTATTCAATAGTCTTCCTTGCCTTCTCAAACTCCACATTGTTTGAGAATTCTTTTGAATAAATTGGAGTCGCTTAAGGGATTTCAGACACGGTAAAGTTGTGGAAGGTTAAGCTTGGCTTGGACCGAGGAAAGTTCAGACTTTGAAATCAATGGGAAAAAGTTTCCCAAGCTAGAACTGGTTAGTGGGGTACAGTATATGTGAAGTGATGTGCATATATGCAGATACTAGATAATATATGGTTAATGTTGTTTCTACTTGAATGTGTATGACTTTCTATATCTGAGGTATGATATTTGTACATACGGTATGCTAGTATAATATTATATGCATTTGTTACATGCTAGTATAACACTAAAGAATTCATGTATGTTGATTTACATGGGTTTTTAATAGATAAACATATATGTTTCACAGCTAGTTTTGCAGTGTAGAGCGAGTTCCTCCACAACCACGACAGATGATGATATGACGTGAGCATAAATGAAAAAAGTGGGAATTCAGATAGCCGGCCCAACTTGTTTGGGACTAAGGTGTGATTGTTGTTATAGAAGTATATTTTTGTTGCTTCACATACAATGATGTAATTTACGTAAAAAAGATCTATTCCACGGCAATAAACCACTGTCGCTAATTGAAACAATAAAATTCTAAAGATAGACAGGCATCTTAACACTTCTTACCTTGTAGAAACAGCTAGTCCCAAATGGACAAGTCCCATTCCCAAAGTCAAAGTGCTTGCAGTCGATAGATCTGAAAACAAAAAATAAAAAGGAATTACTTCTAAAAATGGCACTTCAGAGAATCTTTTGCTTTCTGTTCAGTTTTCCCACTGAGAGAAGCTGGGGCATGGAAGCATCCTAGTTAAAAACTTTACAAAGCATAAATATACTCCATCTCAATTTAAAATTGGCCGCATCACATCAATGTGACAAATATAACTACTATCCCGCATTACAAGACAGCTACTGCCTTGCTAGATTTTTAAGTTTACCCTTTGAATGTTCATGTGTATCATTCTCAAAGCTTGAACATCAAAATAGAAGCAATCTTTCATGATATGAAAATTAAGGATCATAGTTACTACTTTGGAGAGTAATCAAGGAAAATGTTACTATAAAAGAGGTTCGGCTCTCGGGAGAGGGAATTCACTAATCCAGTCACAAGGAAAAAGATATGTTGAATCCCCTTTTATGTAGATTATCCAAGTAAAGCAAGCTACCTTTGAGGGTGTTTTACTACCAAAGATCATGCTCTAGTGGCCTTCCTTGATTCCTGTGGTTATCAACAGGCGATAGCATGACTTCCAGAAATATCTCTATCGTGTGATGATACCTTGTGTCAAAAACTCTGGCTCCAGCATCAACTCCTTACTAGTCCCAACTTGCCAACAAGTGAATGCCCTCCGCAGTTCCTACTCTTTAAGTTCAATCAGGTTCCCAGGATATAAAGACCATTTGTTGAGAATCCACCAGTTTTTCTATCACTTTTTTTAGTTTTCTAATATTTTAAATTCTAATTGTTGCTGTCAAAGGGTCACCAGGGGTTTGCTACAGCCTTGAAGCCGGATGTAAAATAGGCTGAGCAACCTGGTATTTTATGCAAGCCCAACTAGGGGTATTTTATGCCCAACTCAAAAATCAGACAGAAAAAATATGGCATTATCCAAGCTTCACATTGAAAAGGCATATGATCATGCCAACTAGGGGTTCTTGCTTGATATTCTATAAGGGATGGCATTTGGACTCAAATGGATCGATTGGATTCAACAATGCATTTCAACAGTATGTTATCTGTCCTTACAAATGGTTTGCCTGCTGGTTTTTTCAAGGCTCAAAGAGGGCTAAGACTAGGCCATTGTTTCCCTTTTTGTTCATATTGGCTACAGAAGGCATTAACAACATGGTGAAAACAGCAAAGTACAATGGCTGGATTAATGGAATTTAAATGGCTAGGAGTGACAACAGCAACAAGGCAATCACACATTTATGACCTAAGTTGCTCGGACTCTTCACTTTTGGTGCCGCACCCGTGTCGACACGACATGGGTGTGGGTGTGGAATCCGTGTCCGATTTGGTAAACAGATTTTGGGTACTTTGACCAAAATCGATGGGGAAAGTCTGGACAATTTTAATATTCCCATAATCAATACAAAAAGATAAGGTGAAATTGAAGAAAATGGAATACCTTTTATATAGAAATTTCTACGTCACTCCTTTTCCTTTAATCTCCTTCCAAGATTCACCTCAAGTTCTCCACATAATATCTAATAATTAAGGTTTCATAACTCTATTTTTAAATATTTTAATTATTTTTAGGCGAATCTCCACACCCGTATACATAGATGGATCCATATCCCCAAATCTTAAAAATTAGATCATGAAGGATTCGACCTCTAGATCCGCACCCATATCGGACACCCACACCTGAGCAACTTAGCAGATGACACCCTTATCTTCTATGCTGCAAATGTAAAACAACTTATGAACCTGAGGGTGATTTTGGTTCTCTTTGAACGTGTTTCAGGTCTTCCCATCAATTGGAGGAAGAGCTCCTTCTTCCCAAATAATGAGGTTACTGATATGGAGTTCCTAGCATCAATGTTGGGAAGGAGAAGTTGGGTCCCTGCCCACTGTATATCATGGTATGCCTTAAGGGGAAAAATCCAAAATTTGGAATGGTGTTATTGCGAAGTGTGAGAAGAAAATAACTAGGTGGAAGTTTGAGGACCATTTTCATTATTTTTGAAGCTGTGTCAGGCCTTCATATAAACTGGTGGAAAAGCTACATCTATCCAATTAATGAAGTGGTACAAATTGAGGAGCTAGCAAATACACTAAGGGGGCAAATAGGGGAGCTACCCGCCATCTACTTGGGCATGCCATTAGGTGCAAAAAGTAAGTCTATAAGCATTTGGAGTGGAGTGATAGAGAAGTGTGAGAGAAAATTAGCTAACTGGAAAAGCCAATACTTATCCCGGGGGGAAGACTTACTATGATCAACAGTGTGTTGGATGCCTTACCAACATACATGATGTCTGTTTTCCTAGCACCAGCTGGTGTAATCAACAGAATAGAGGTACTCAGAAGAACTTTCTTTTGGCAAGGAAATGAAGATAAGAGGAAGTATCATCTTGCCAAATGGGAAGAAATGAACATAAGCAAGAAGATAGGGGGTGTGGGCATCAGAAACATGAAGTTTCAGAACCAAAGCCTTATGATGAAGTGGTTATGGAAGTTTGCATCTGCTGAGAACTCATTGTGGAAGGAAGTGATTGCTGAAAAATATGGAATGAGGGATAAGTGGATGACAACAAAGGTGACCTCTCCCTAATTACAACACTTTTGGAGGGGAACTACACTTTTGAGGTAGTATACCTGTGGATAAATATAGACTAACTGTCACATTTCTCAAAAAAAAAAAAAAAAAATTGTCACTGGGAGGAAGATTCATACTTATCAACTGTGTTAGATGCCCTCCTCACTTGCATAATATATTTGTTTCCAATTTCCATTGGAGTTATTAAAAGACTAGACATCATTAGAACATCCTTTTTGTGGCAAGGAAATAAGGAGAAGATAGGTTTTTATTTGGTTAAATGGAAGGCCTCATCAGTGAGCAAGAAGAAGGGAGGACGGGAAATCAGGGACCTAGAGTTTTAGAACAAGGCTTTAAAAATTAAATTTCCTTGAAAAGACACACAAGAAGATCATATATTATGAGGAAGAGCCATCAAAACAGAATATGACGAAGAGAACAGGTGGATGACCAATGAGGTCAATACCCCTTCTGAGGTCAGTTTGTAGAGATCTATCAAGACCCAATGGCCTGATTTGAGGAACAACTCTTCCATTAAAGTTGCAGATGGTAGCAAAACTGTGTTTTGGAAGGATGTATGGCCTGGAACAGAAAGCCTCCAAGACAGATTTTGTGACATTTTCAACCTAGTACATCACCAACATAAAATAGTGGCAGAACAGTGGTCAAACCAGGGATGGGATATTACCTTTAGAAGAATGCCTAATGACTGGGAGCTGAATAGGGTGACTAAATTTAACAATCTTTTGGGAAGTTTTGGTGGCATACAGGAAGGGGTAAATAGAATTTGGTGGAATGGACACAGCAGTGGTGCATACAAAGTTAATGTAGCCTATAAAGCTTTGAACCAAACAAATCATTATATTGAAGAATGGTCCTGGAAGCACATATGGAAGAAGATAACATATTAAGTTTCTAGTTTTGTTTGGAGTCTGGCAAGAGAAGTTGTACTTACTCAGGATAACTTGATGAAAGAGGGATTACTCTTTGTCCCAGATGTTGTTTGTGTGGGGAAAACATCATATATGGTGAACCATATTTTTCTCAATTGTAAGATAACAGAACATATCTGGAGGATGTTCTTAATCTTAGTGGGATCACTTGGATAATGTTTCGCAAGATTTCTCAAACATTAGCAAGTTGGGAAGAGATGGGATGTGAGGCAAAGACAGAGGAAGATAGAGAATTGTCCCAGCTTGTATTTTTGGACAATTTGGAAAGAAAGAAATTCCAACTAGGTTGCCACACTGATTACAAGACTCGTTCTTGAAAACCTCCCAAACATAAATATTTGATGACACTGTTTACTGAGTTATTATCGAATTGTTAATTGACTTCTGAGTACATGAAACACCACAACAAAAGCTGAGACACTGGTAAACTTGACCCACGACTTCTGTACCACATATAAAAGCTGAGAACACATCTTTTAGGTCATCTGGCACAATAGTAATGTGGAGGAAGCCATTTAATAACATTTTGTAAAGCTTGGGATTCATCCAGAGTTCTTCTTTTTCCCTTCTTTTATTGATTTTTATATATTTGAGATTTATTCGAGTTTTGTTCTAGTTTTCTACCATGACAATGTGTAGCTAAATTCTCTAATTCTAGAGCAATGGTCCTGCCTTAATGTTGATATACAAATGTTAATTAGACGGGTTTAATTTATCATATTGGTTTGTTTATCATATCCTGAGTTTAATTAGTTGATTGTCTGGCCAACAATTAGCTACTACCTATGAATCTTGAGTTGACTTTAAAAAGGAACTTCTTGATTGCAATAGGATTGAATAGCACATTCTTGAACCTAGCCATCAGGGAATCAATTCGCAAATAAGGATAGAAATAAATATATTTGTCGTGCTTAGTCAATTAGTGCAAGAAATCATTACTATATTATTTTACCTGAAATCTCATAGAAACATAGAGCCTAGAATAAACTAAACAGGCAAGTAAAAATTGATGAAATTCTATGAGTAATGTTATTCTTGAAGGTTAATAACAAGATAAATCAACAAGTCGAATTAATTGAAGAATTCAACAGGTTGTTCGATAAAACCATAACTCTAAAATATTTTCTCCCATTGATATCCAATAATCATTCAAAGTATGTTAATCAATTATTTTCAGTATCCAATAATCACAATGACTTGTGATTATCTAGCAACTAAACTAAACTAATTCTAATTATCTTGACAAGAAAAGGTTCAAACGATCCGCATATATGTTGTGTATGCATTTGAGGGAAACACATCATATGGATATGCTGGACTCTTAGAGGTTCAACATTGACTCTCATATGACCTTGCTAGTATTACGATCGTTTAACAAAATGAAAGATAAGTAGTGAAAAGGAAAGAGAAAGTGATAAACCTGAGTTTGTTTTTGTAGTTGTCAACTATTTCTTCCTTTTCTTCTTTTGTGAAGTACCAAATAACACTTGGAATGACAAAATATGAAAGCTTTCGGCATATGGGGCAAGCCCTCAGTGCAGAATTAACATCCATCCCAGAGGAAGAACTGCCACGCCAATTCCTTATACACGATACACAAAACGGATGATCACACTCAGAAAGGATCCCAAACTTCCTCTCAGCTGCTGTTGACTTGGAAAGAACACGTTCAAGGCATACACTGCATTCTATTTCTTGACTGCGCTTCAATAAATCAAGGTGCTTTTGCTTGTTCTCACATGTTTTTATATGGTCCTCTCTTTCCTCAGGCCTGAAAGGATGCAAGCAATGCTTTCCGCAGGTTGGACACATATCTCCATGAACACGAGGACACTTTTCTCCCCGAGGACAATTACCAGCAGCAGCAAAAGCACAGATTGACCGATCAGCTGGATGATCACTGTTTAACTCAATCATGTCATCAATCTCCAATGCATCTTGAAGCTCCGACTTTTGGTTCCATGCTGGTTGGCTGGAAGCATCATAAGGTCTGCTTGAAGCTAAATACTCAGTAGAAATACCTGGCACAACATCGGCATTATGTGCACCCATTCCAGGAGGCACATTGGTAGGTGCAGAACTTGAAAGCAGATATTGTTGAGGTTGTGCTGAAGATTGAGCTGAAGGCTGTGATCGAGACAGTTTAACATGATCATATCTACACCTGCTTCCATAAGCACAAGCTCCTTTTTGGTAGTAGGTGCATACCTGCAACAATGATCCAAGGGAAAACAATCAGAAAGTAAAGAATCAATTAAGCCTTGATCATCAAACTAAATTGTCAAGAATGTTACATTATTAGAAGGATTGTTCCAATCATGTGAAAACTCACAATGATCCCCCTTCAGACATGCCCCATGTGCAAAGAACTTGCAAAGAACCCTGGAGAAAAATTAGAAGCACATGTGTGATTTATATAATATGGCCATCTAGAAGAGAATCACCAAACAAATAGAACTACGATTAATTAAAAGTAACAATATACTTTGTCAATGGAAATATTAAGGTAGATAGTTAACGTAAAATAACAACTAGTGTCAATTTACCTCTTCAAATATTAACTTTTATATCGCTTATCAGTAAAAGAGAATGCCCTTTTTTAAAAAAAAATATATATGGATACACATCATAAACAAACAATGAAATGTTTTAAACAACCACTTAAATTTAATGACCAAGATAATAATGAAAACCCCATCAATTTCCTTGAAATTACTCATCACCATCAAATAAGACAAACATCAATAGCATATAATCGGAGTTTCTTGCAGTCTATTTACAGAAAATATCATAAGCACCACAAACACAAAGTACTACAAAACTATATATCTACCAATACACTGAGTTAATTTTGCAATCAATCGGTTGAAAACCGTATAAGCATGTTAAAAATGTAAACAAGCATATGGAACATTCTCATATGTGACTAGGGAAACAGAATAGCAGTCAATCTTTAAATTGTGTATGATTTCCCATAAACTAAAGAAGAAATCCACTTTCAAATGATACAAACTATTATATTCAATCCTCTATATCAATCAAATGAAAAAGCCAAATCTAGTGCTCCATGATTAAATAAGAAAATATTTCATGAAGGCCCCTGCTTCAAGAATAATCATTAATTGCACCAATAAAACTTGTGTGGGCACCAAATGTAGCGGCTGCAGGTTTTCCTTGTCATAAACAAAAAAAAAAAAAAACTTGAGGTAAAAAAAGAGGGCAAAACAAAACTTTATATAATTAGTTGTTCCATGATGATTCCCAAAAAATTCTTTTAGCTAAACTTAGGAATCACCCATTAAAGTTAAGAGGTTAAACGAGACGGCGAGAAAATATTCAGATGAGTTTCTGATAAATCACCATAATTACAACATAGAATCCCTGAGAATGTTGAGGATTATCACACAACAATAGCAGGATGGATTGATGATATAGATAAAAACAAACAACGGGACCCTAATCAAAATCAAAATAAAAAATGCACCTTTTGGACATGGCTTCCACCTTTGCCTCTGAGTTCTGACAGTCCAACCCTGAGGTGGCGGTTGGATTTTCTTTTTACTTCTACTTTGAAATATTAGGTTTAATAAAAAAAATTATTGTAATTCCCCCTTTTACACCATTGTTCTTTAGTCTAGTTTTAAAAGCAGTAATTCTTAAATTTTAAAATTAAATTATCTAAATACCCTTTTAAATTACATAGTCATAAATGTTTTTTCCTCCTGGTGTCCATTTTAATTACTAATTAATCTTATTTGAAAAGTTATTGTTCAATCGTGCGTGGGTAACTATTAATTTTTTGTATCGGTTAAAAAATTGCAACATGTATTTAATTTATGTGTTTGTACTAGAATGAGTTTATACATGTGTATATATAAATAAATTGTTTCTTCCTATGATTGGTCCAAAAATTAAAAAAAATATATGTGTACGTTATTGTGAGTTTTTTAAATTTGATGTTGTGGACAATATAAAAAAAAAATTGTATTTAGCAAAGTTACATTGTTAATTTTTTTTTTTCCTATATCGACTACTAATATATAAGTGGCAATAAGCACACATTTGGGCGTCAGATGTATATTTTAGCTATGTGCTTCACTACAAATTCAACTACTTGGCTTTTTGGTTGGAGCTTGATATTTTACGTTAAGGTCTATAGTTCAAACCTTATTGGCAACATTATTTATTATTTATTTTATTGTTCATTATTTTGCTCCTATGTTGTTATATTATTAGTTATTTTATTGTTTATTTTGCTCCTATGTTGTTATATTAATTATTTTTTACAAAGTTTAGGGCATTTTCCTTCTAAATTTTTATATAATTAATTTATTCCGCAAAAATATTTAGGATTTGAATGTACTTTTCTAAGAGTTTAGTTAAATTATTTAATTTGATTAATTTTTAAATTTAAGCTATGTAAAAAGTGAAAGCACAATAATTAACAACCTAAAAAATTGAAAAACATATTAAAATGTGATTAACTCTCGAAATTTCACATGTGCCACATAAATTGGGACAACATGAGTAACATATATTATTGGGAAACTTGCATAAATATACTATAATAAAAAAATATTTACCATTTATAGCAATAATATATTTTTTGCACTTGATCACTTTTAATACATATTATAAAAAACAATTTATTATTCACATATAATACAAATTTTATTGATGGATAATACATTTATCACACATTTTAATACACTTATAATACAATGTGTCAACTTCTTACCAAACAACCATAATATATTTTTTAAAACAGTTATAATACATATATATTGCATACTTAATTCACTTTTTATACATATTGCAGATTTAATATAGTATTGCTATAAATGGTAATAAATAAAAAGTATCGCTAAAATCAGTAATTATTTAGTAAAAGGCACCCATCCAAGTATTTTGTCCTATATTATTTAAAAAGTACTTTAAGAGTACTATACAACATAAAGTATTTAAAAACATATTAAAAATTTGATTAATTTTTGAAATTTCACATGTGCCACGTATAAATTGGGACATGGAAAATAACATATAATAGTTTAAAATTACGTACTTCAAATATATTAAAAATTGATTAACTCTCAAAATATCATATGTGCCACATATATTATTTAAAAACTACGTTTAAAATATTAGAAAAATAATTAACAACAAAATCATAAAATTAAAATAATATATATTGGGTCCGAACTTGTCCGAGCTTTTGTATCTAGTAGAGGTAATACGTGTTAACATGAACCTTTTCATCTGATTGTTTTTTCTTTATGCTCTATTTTTTTTAGTATATTATTTATCTTTATAGATTTTTTGATATTTAAGATAGTGTTACTTTTGTATTAAATGAAGGATTAAATGATTAGTGATCTTTTTACCGTACATATTTCTAAATGATTAGTGGCTGCCTCGTCTTGTGATGCCTACAATTGTGAAACATTAAGCATACTTATTCGTCATAATATATCGTTGTAATTATTTGAACAGACCCTTATACCTAATTTAATAGTGAATTATATGCATTCTACCATTGTTCAATATATTGAATATGTAAGCAAATACTTTATATGGATGTCTATCATATACCAAATATTAGTTTCTAAACATTACTCCATCACGCCCGACTAATTGGCTTGAATTAGATGCATGACACTTGGGGACAAGCTCTAAATACGATTTAAATATGTAATTTTGCTCAAAGGAACATTTGGTACTGGTTATGAAGCCATCCAGAAATACACGATACCTTTCAGGAGTTTCAAGTCATTTGTATCATAATTATCAATATCTAAGTCTATATAATAATTGTATTTTCTTCATAAATTGCATAGTGATGGTCAGCTCATCTCTTCTTCAACCGAACCTATCAAATACAACCAGTCACATTTTCATTAGCTTCATGTAATGTGTGGGTTTTGTTCCTAATTGATTACGCTAAAACAAAGATAGCAATCATCTCTTACCTAATACTTTCTTGTATACAATATTTTTGTATATGTCCTTGTCGTCGTATCTGGTTGTTCAGTCATAACTAATACTTTGGTCATTGAGATTCCCCTTGATAGTGATATATATAGTTGTCTATGGGAGAAAACTTGTTGCGAAAGATATAATCCAACAATAGGGATTGTTTGACCTTGAGATTTATTTGTCGTCATTGCAAAATATAGACGTATTGAAAATTGCTTCGAAATAAATTTAAAAGTATATCCTTCGTTCTCAGCGGTGATGATTGAATTCTTGGTATAAACACCTCTTTTGTAAGTGGGTCTTTGAGATTCATCAATTCGGACCATTGTAAAGACGAAATCACCCTTACCCAGTTGATGGATAATCAATTTGGTAACTATTTTTACCTTTTTATAATATCTAGCTAAAATCCCAATTCTTGGGGTGTGATTATGTGATTATGGGCTGATTTAGCTTATGGTTATTGCTAATTGTTAGTTTAAATGTTATTTAAAAGTGAGTTTAGTCATTAATTATGATTTAATTTAAGAATTGTAGTTGCAAATGCAGTTCTACCTTTGTGTTCTTGGCTTGCGAGAGGGAGAGGTTTTTGATTAATGGTTTGTGGGTATTGGGTTGACCTGGGTTCAGCTCGAGAGAGTGAATCCTAAACCAAATCCCACACATTCTGCTTAAGAGAGTGAATGTATTAAGGTGTGGGCTTCTCTTATTTTGCATGCTTGTTGATGTTCGAGAGAAATCAACTTGATTCGGGGTAAATTGTTCGAGAGAAAATTTACCTCCACTATAGCCTAGCCTACTCACTAATATCTAGCTATTTACTAATAGTTGCAATTATCCATATGTCTATATTGCCTATAATCAATCACATCCCAAAAACCCGTCTCATTATTGTTAATTCGTATTGTTTGTGACTGATGTTTGTAGTTGATAATCAAAACCAAAACCCTTATTTGACATTCGTGTCACCCCTTAATTTGAATGATGTCTTTATTCGATAATTTTTATTCATATGACTGATTTGACCACATTCTCACTTCCCAATTGAATCTGAAACACGTACCGCTCCCTGTGGGATTTGACCCCAACTCATTTAGTTAGGTTTTATACTGATTATTGATCATTAACGCTTATAATTGGATGAACTGTCTTTGAAACGTTATTAATCAGTGACCCCTTTAAATATATGACAGCTTGTAGTTTTTTTTACTTAGAAATTTCTACTAAAGGTCTCAGCCTAACTAACGGGTGAGCCTCTATCTTTGCGTCCTCTTGGTGCTAAATAATACTGATGAGTGGTAGATTTGCACTTATTTGAGGCCTATTTAGCTCAATAATTAGTGTCCTCAATGCCTAATTTTGTCCTATTCTAATAATATTTTGATGATTTACTATCGTGAAGGATAATGGACAAGGCAAGGATAAATGTTTGAAAGAATGGCCAAAAGTGTGAAAAAAAGTATAAAATTTACATTGATGATTGCCAAGAAAGAAAGGTGGATCGCCTAGTGAGCATGACCTCAGCCAAAGTGACAGTGTACAACACTTCTGTCTATCGAGACAAGTTGGTGAAATACAAAAGGAAAGGTGATTCTCCGAATGAGAAAGGCGACCTTGCTGACCATCGCCGAAAGCAACAGTGCAAGGAGGAAAATCAAAGCTCTAAAAGCGAATCAAGGTGGTACTCAGTGATTCATTGAATGTGAAAGATAGACTTAAATGAGTTCACCGACTGAGGTTCAAACACTTGAAGCCTAGAGCAAGAGAAGGAGACCTAAATCATGATTTGGCAATTTGCTGAATAAGCACGGCGAGCTCGACTAATGTCGCTCAAAGGGTAGAGTGTTGAGTTTTTGGGCCAAATTTTGGGAAACTATAAAGGAGAGAGAAAGAAGAGAGTTGCCTTTAGAGTGAGAAATTGTACTTTTGGGAGAAATACTTTACCTTGTGAAGAACACTTTATAGTTTGGGGGGTTTCAACTTTGCTATTGAATTTGACAAATTAAAGTTGAATCTAAAATGGGTTCGCTTGTAGTTGTTTAATTTTATATTACCCATAGCCGTTTTCATAGAAGGTATAATTTCTTTACTTATTGTGATGGATGGCTAAAACCCCAAGATCTAGGGGTGCAATTATAGGGTTGGGTGTTTATTTAATGTAGGGCGTATTATGTTATGCTCTATTTTTCTAGTGTTCATACATGAACTTGGGATAATTAGCATGGGGATAATTTATGGGTTAAGGTTGCAAACTTAATTTCTACTTATGATCTCTGGTTGATGCTCGAAAGAGATTGATTGGAGTGGGTAGTTAGTCCGCTACTAGCAATTTAGGTTAAATGTCTATAAGTTGCTTGAAAATAGAGGATATGGGTCGGATCTATTTGCCCTATTACTGCATCGAAAGAGAGAGTAGAGTAAGGTATTGGGTTTCTTAGATTGACATTTAGAATAGACCGAAAGGATATTCTATGCAAGGATGCTATGAGATCGAAAGAAGATTAGTGTCATTGAAGATGACCTAGCCTATTAATGAATGTTCATCACTATAGAGCAACATAATTACCCCCTATGTGACATTGATTTCCAATTCCTGCACCCCTAGATTGCTTGTTACTTCTTGAATTTTCCATAATTTTAGTTTAATTGTGACAATATATAACCCAATCTTTGCATTAAATTGGTGGAATCATCCACCCACTTATTTTTACTACTACAAATGAATGATTTTACAATCCAAATTTCTTGATAAAATTTCCTATGATATACCATTCCCTATGGGATTCGACTCCGACTCTTCTTTGGTATTTTTATTGAATACGACCGTTGTCCCTTTTGATTGATTGTAAAGAGGACATTTGAGCGTTAACAAAAATGGCACCGCTGCCGGGGAGTGGTGGTTAAGATTTTATTTGAGAAATTAGTTTGTAAATTTGTTTAGTTGTAGTAGATTGTTGTTTTATGTTATCCGCTGATATGTAGATATAATATAATGAGTGACCATGGTAGTGACGCTAATAATAACTATGGTCAAAACAAAAACATGGGTGATTTGAATGATATGCATGTGAATATTGTTCAAACCACAAAAGCTATCTGGATACCTCCTACAATCGGGAGGAATGTGTTTCACGTAATCGAACAATGCTATAATTTCCCCAACTAAGAGGAATGTTTGGGGGTTTCGCTCCTGAAGATCTCCACGAACACCTTAGGAATTTTGTGGAGGTATGTGGACCATTTGTGTTCAAGAACATCTCTCAAGAATCTGTGAGGTCGAGGTTATTCTCGTTCTCTTTGACGGGTGAAGCTTCAAAATGGTTGACAGAATTACCAAATGACTCTCACTTCTTGGGAAGAGTTGAAACTTGGTTTTTGTTCAAGAAACTACTTTTATGATGTCCAACACATGGTGTTTCTGATGATTTGCTGCTGCAATACTTCTATTGTTGCCTTGATTTAGTCAATAAAGGTGGCACTGATTAGTTAGTTCAAGGAGGATTAATGAGACAACCGTATGATATAGATGCTTTGTTGCTAGATGACATGACCAAAGTGAACCGAGTATGGCATACTAGAGAGAATCATTTCCCTACTCTACAACTGAGCATGAGTAAGGAACAAATCAAGAAGGACAATGAATAAGATGAGAACATTGTCAAAATGATGACCCAACTCGATTTATTGTTTAAACATGTCATGGGAGGTGGACTTAGATCGTTGAATGCGGTTGGAACTAATAGTGGGCACTACTCGGATGATGCAGAATTTGAGGCATTATATAATGAAAAAGTTCAATATTTGGGAAACCAAATAGGGGTTCTCACACCAATTATCAACGACATTGTGGGAACCAAGGTTGGAAGAAGGATCGAGATAATGGTCGGAGAAATTGGCGAGGTTGAAATTGGAGAGATAGGGAGGCTGACAAAGATCGATATGTTCCTCCCCATGATCATCAACGACCAAAAGACCCAACTGGGTCAAAAGGAAACTGAACTAAGGAAATGCTCACAAGGATCTTTAATAAGGTTGAAGGATTCGGCAAAATGTTGAAGGACTTGAAAAATGACTTCATCACATTATCTCAAACATTGACCTCTCATTCGGTATCTATCATGTAGCTGGAGACCTAATTGTGCCAGATCTCCACTCATCTCAATCTAAGGAAAAAGGGAACATTGCTTAGCACCATCCCAAATCCCAAAAATGAATGTTAAGGAAATGAGAACTATGTCGTGCCACGATGTTAAATAAGACACTTCTTAGGAGGTAGCCCAAGTCTTTACTTTTGTTTTTATTGCTTTCAATAGTGTGTGTTGTGAGTGCAGGTTGAGAAGAAGTTAAAAGGTTGAAGAATGGAACAATAGGCGACACCAAAACTAAAATGGTCAGATGCCTTTGTCGGGGCATCTACAGTGCCCAATATTTGATTTTTGACCTCCACACCACGCATTGTTACAAAATGAGAACGAGCATCGGGTTTCCAATTTGCATTGAATTCTCAAACCACACTAATATTGCACTCTGTTGGATCTGGAAAGATGAATCCCGTGTGCAACTCTTGTAGGCGATGCATAATGCATGGGAACTCCCTCTCTAATTGGACGTCATCAAGTATCACATCCGAGAAGTACTTGGCTTCGATGTGTGATTTATACCATTTTTTCCCCTCAGTTGTGACTGCCTTAGCCCCGTAACGTTGTCTCTTCCCTCGTGGGACTACGGGTGCTGGGGGAATGGTTGTGTCTGTCCTTACTCTCTTACGGCTGCTAAGCGCAACCACTTTGCCAGACCTTTGTGTGCTAGACATGATATCCTGCAATGAGATAATTACAATTTTAGGTAATGTGATCCAATCATGAAAAATTTACCCCCCACTTATTTTGAAGCACATATATCACAATCAACACGGTACTCAGACTTCCCAATGTTGTTTTCAGCATACTATTCACACACCCACTCAATTCAGCAAGTTTTTTTTTATAAAACTTTTGCCACTCAAGAATTCACAAATGCCCAAATTTTAACCCAAACATGCAATGGAACCCCTTTCACATTCCACCCCCAATACGCTAGACCAAGTTTCTAAACAAAGAACAATCAACTTCCACAAGAATTTCACCCGAATATCACATGATTACAAGCCCTAACCTCAACAATTTAACTCACATAAAGTAAATGGAGAGAAAAAAAAACATACATGTCGTGCTTAGAAGAAGGGAAATTGAAGAACTTGATAATGATCTTCCAACTTCGTGACATGGATTTGATTGAGGATGAGAGTTATGGTTAAAGGGAAGGTGTGTAATTCATGCTTATTTCTTGGAAGAATGGGGAAAACTGCTGATTTTAGGGGTTAAAAGGGAATGGGGGTTGGGTTTTACCATATAAGTCGGGTAAAACCCGACTGTTTAATGAAAAGGAAGAAAAACTTACCAGGTCCGTGACGTGGAGCTGTCGTAGACACCCCTTACACTCTCAGCTTTCACCACGTGGGAGGTCATGTGATTGGTGGAATCAGTCCGCGATGAGCTTAGGTCACGGACTCCACTGTTAGACCCTTCCCGTTGTCGTAATTCCCAGAACAAGGTCCGTGATGCGAAGCACTCACGGCCTTCCCTTGTACTTTCGAGCTTTTTATTTTGGCGACCCACACCATGCATTAACAAGTCCGCGACGCGGGTAAGTCGTGGACTCTACTATTTTTCACCCAATTTTTTTTCATACAAATTATAACTTTTAAAATAAATAAACAACCCTATGACTCCAAATAAACAAAACTAACCTATCAAAACAAAATACAAAGAAAATATCCTCTAGAGTACAAAGTCTCGGGTTGGCTCCCTAGTTGGGCCTGATTTAATGTCGCGGCACGACTCAGCTCCCCATCATTCATTGCTTAACTCTAAAATCTCTTCTTCTCGATCCACATCTTGTCCGAAGTAATTCTTCACCCTCTGACCATTCACTATGAATGTGGATTGTTTTCCTTCATTCCATAACTCCACAGCTCCGTGTTCTATCGTGTGCACCACTTCAAATAGTTCGCTCCATTTTGACTTCAACTTACCTGGAAACCACCGCAATCTAGAGCTAAACAACAATACCTTTTGACCAGGCTCAAAGAGTCGAGGCACAATATGCTTATCATGCCATCGTTTAGTCTTCTCCTTATAAAGCTTAGCATTTTCATCGGCATGGAGTCTAAATTCCTCCAATTCATGTAGCTGACCCATCCCTTTTCTCCCGTCTAGTTTCGAATCCAGATTCAACTTCTTCACTGCCCAGTAAGCCTGATGTTCTAATTCAATTGGAAGATGACACACTTTACCAAACACCAAGTGATAGGGAGAAGTCCCTATTGGTGTTTTATAGGCGGTCCTGTACGCCCATAATGCATCATCAAACTTAATTCATTGCCCAATCTTTCCTTTGGGCATTCACTATTTTCTGTAGAATCTGTTTCACCTCCCGATTTGATACTTCTACCTGGCCACTAGTTTGAGGGTGATACACAGTAGCTACCTTGTGCCTGACTCCATATTTAGCTAAGACATTCTTTACCAATTGATTTATGAAGTGTGTCCCTCCATCATTGATTATTGCTCTAGGAGTTCCAAACCGAGTAAAGATATGCTTCTTCAGAAACTTCAGCACCAATTTCGCATCATTAGTAGGCAAAGCTGCTGCCTCAACCCACTTGGACACATAGTCCACAACCACAAGTATATATTGATTTCCATCGGATGGAGAGAATGGTCCCATGAAGTTGATCCCCCATTCATCAAATATTTCAACCTCCAATATATTATGCAAAGGCATCTCATGTCGTCTGGAAATAGACCATATCCTCTGGCATTGATCACAACTTTTCACATACCCTGCAACATCTTTAAACAAAGTAGGCCAGAAAAAACCTGATTGGAGCACCTTATGTGCAATGTGCTCACCTCCATGATGACCCCTATATGAAGACAAGTGACAACTATCCATCACTTGTCTCATCTCAGATTCAGGCACACACCTCCTCATCATTTTGTCTGTCCCTTGTTTGAAAAGATAAGGTTCATCCCATATGTAGAACCGAGCATCATAAATCAGTCTCTTCTTTTGGTGTGTGGTTGCACCCGGTGGGAACAATCCGCTCACTAAATAATTAACAATATCTGCATACCATGGTAGTTCGGTCACCTCTAGCGCCAATAGTTGTTCATCAGGAAACTCTTCCCGGATCTGACCTTGCTCTCCCACATGTGACGAACTCTCCAATCTTGATAAGTGATCTGGTTTTCAGAACCTCTTCGATCCTTGATCTCTATGTCAAACTCTTGCAGCAATAGAATCCACCTAATTAATCGTGGCTTTGCATCCTTCTTATTGAACAGGTACCTGATAGCTGCATGGTCAGTATAAACAACAACTTTAGTCCCTACCAGGTAAGATCTAAATTTGTCAAAAGCATAGACCAAGGCTAGGATTTCTTTTTTGATCACTGTGTAGTTTGTTTGGGCTGCATCTAGTGTTTTGCTTGCATAATATATTGAGTGAAATACCTTTTCTTTCATTTGCCCTAACACTGCTCCTACAGCCACATCACTTGCGTCACACATCAGCTCAAAAGGAAGCTCCCAATTTGGGGAAGTCAGGATTGGAGCTTCTATTAACATTTTCTTCAAAGACTCAAAAGCTTGAATGTATTGCTAATAGAATACGAATTTCATCTCATTCTCTAGGAGACTGCACATGGGTCTTGCAGTCTTAGAGAAATCCTTGATGAATCTCCTGTAGAAACCATCATGACCCAAAAAACTTCTCACCCCTTTTACAGAGACTGGGGAGGTAGCTTTTCAATGGCTTCCACTTTGGCACGTTCAACTTCCATCCCTCTCTTTGAAACCTTATGGCCTAATACAATCCCTTCCTTCACTAGGAAATGACATTTTTCCTAGTTTAGGACGAGATTAGTCTCCTCGCATCTAGCCAGCACCCTATCCAAATTCTCTAGACACATGTCAAAAGACTCCCCAAAGACTGAGAAGTCATCCATGAATATCTCCACAAAATCTGCAACCATATCATGAAAAATAGCAATCATGCATCTTTGGAAGGTGGCTAGAGCATTGCATAGCCCAAACGACATTCCCTTGAAAGCATATGTCCCATACGGACTAGTAAATGTAGTTTTCTCCTGGTCCTCTGGTGGAATCACAATTTGGTTGTATCCTGAAAGCTATCCAGGAAACAATAATATTCTTGCCCAACTAACCTGTCCAACATCTGATCAATAAAAGGAACCGGGTAGTGATCCTTTCTGGTGGCCTTATTCAATTTTTTGTAATCCATGCATATTCGCCACCCTGTCACTATCCTGGTTGGAATCAACTCATTCTTTTCATTGGTGATCACTGTCATGCCTCCATTTTTAGGCACACAGTGAACCGGGCTGACCCACTTGCTGTCTGAAATTGGGTATACAATACCCAATCCAGCTATTTAATCACCTCTTTGCACACCATATCTTTCATCATTGGGTTTAGTCTGTGTTGAGGTTGTACACTTGACTTGTGGCCCTCTTCCATAAATATCATGTGCATGCAAAAAGCTGGGTTGATGCCATGTATGTCAGCCATTTGCCAGCCTATCGCCTTTTTCCTCTTCCTCAATATTTTTAGAGAGGCCTCAACCTACACTTCAGACAAAGCAGAAGAAAGGACTATAGGTAAAAAATCATTGACATCTAAGAATGTATACATGAGATGAGAGGGGAGAGCCTTTAACTCTAACTTTGGTGCTTCCTCAATTGATGGCTTGGGAGGTGGTCACAAGACTCTGTTTAATGGCTCCACAAACTTGCAAAGCATACTCACATTCGGGACATCTAGAACGTTAGCCAACTCCTGGGCTTCAACATATCCCTCAATGTCTTGCCCAATTAACACTTTATCTAAAGGGTCTAGGGCTTCAACATATTTAGTTGCCATTTCCTCATCAATGACTGTAATTGCTGACAGCTCCTCATATATTGCAGGCAACTTCATTGCCTTGTACACATCAAATACCTCTACCTTGTCATGAGCCCTCATTGTCAGTCTACCAGCCGCCACATCAATTAACACACCACCGATTGCTAGGAATGGGCGTCCCAAAATAAATGGAATCTCTGGCTCAAAATCCAAGATGACAAAGTCTATGGGGAAAATCACAGTTCCCACTTGGACTAAGATATCCTCAATAACACCATCTGGCCTTGCTACCGAACGGTCGGGTAACTGCAACATAATGGTTTTGGACTTGGGCCTTCCTAGTCCCAACTTGAGAAATATGGACGTAGGCATCAAGTTGATACTTGCACCCAAATCGCACAACCCTATTGCCTCAATGCACTTACCAATTTTTATATGCACAGTAAAACTGCCTGGATCTTTCAACTTAGTTGGGAGACTATTCTGGATCCTAGAACTGCACTCCTCAGTGAGTGTCACTGTTGCATACTCAGCCAATCTACTCTTGTTGGCTACCACACCTTTCACATATTTGGCATACTTAGGAATACCCTGAAACACATCAATCAAAGGCAAGTTAACATGTACTTGTTTGAGTAATTCAATAAACTTACCGAAACATTCCTCCTCCTTCTGCTTTTTGAATTTCTGTGGGAATGGAGGAGGTGGTTTTGCTTTTGGTTTCTCATTCACCCTTTGCTCACTTGGTTCCGCTTTATCTACCTGTTTTCCTTTTTCTTCAGCAGCTTTTGCCTTTGGTGTTAACTCCTCTAATGGATGACCACTACGAGTACTCACAACATTTACCTATTTTGGGTTTGGATCAGTGTTTTCAAGCAAACCCCCTTGTGGTCGGGAATTTTAGGCACTAGCAAACTGCCCAAACTGCTTCTCCAAATTCTGAGTCGCCAGTTGATTGTTTCGAACATCTACTGCCAATTTAGCTTTTGTCAGCCATGATTTGTTTTAGCACGTCCTCCACACTCATATCACCTTGCTTGGCAGCCTGCTAATTACCATGACCTTGCTGGTTTCCATGGCTTTGCTGATTGTACTGTTGTCCACTACCTTGTGCCCTGTACTGGCTTGTCCTTGGTGTTGGTTTTGATTACCACCCTATGAATAATTTGGGTGATTTTACCAGCTTAGGTTGTAGGTATTGCCATAGTTGTGGTGATTTCCTCCCGTTGAGCATTACCTACAAAATGAACAGATTCTGGGTTTGCTCTGCATACCTCAACATCGTGATCTCCACCTCCACATACTTCACACCAAGCTGGTGGTTGCTGCACCATATTAACTTGAGCTTACTGTTGTCCTAGTGATATGTTGCTGAAATGAGTAGTCATCATATTCTGCATTGCTGAAATATGTGTAATCAGAGCTGTCACTACATCCATTTCCAACATTCTAGCAGTCTTTTGTACGACCAGGTTAGCTCCTCCTCCATTCCACTCAAGATTACCTTGTGAAATTCTATTAAGCAATGTAAACAACTCAGCATATGTCTTCTTTAAAGCTTGTCCACCTGCAGCAGAATCAAGTAAAATTTTTGTGTTTGGTTCCAACCCTTCAATAAAGGTATGGACCAACACTTCGTTAGATTGATGATGATGTGGACAACTTAACAACATGGACTTAAACCTATCCCAAGCTTGGTACAAGTTTTCTCCTCCTTTCTGTCGGAAGCTTAATAATTCACTTCTCAGTTTGGATGTTTTCCCGGATGGGAAGAACCTTATCAAGAACTTTCGGGCAAGATCATCCCAAGATGTTATGGAATTTGCTGGCTCAGAGTTCAACCATCTTTTTGCTCCCCTAGCAGAGAAAAGGGAAATAAGGTAAGCCTCACATAATCAGAGTTCACTCCGGTTGGGGTGTATGTGTCACTGATCTCGAGGAAATTTTGAATATGCACTCGTGGGTCCTTATGAGATAGACTAGTGAACTGCCCGTTTGTGTGTAATAGTTGCACCATGTTCTGCTTCAATTTAAATCTCCCACCAGCTGCAGGTTTCTGAATACTTGAGGTAACATTGGTGCTTTGAGGGATTGCCACATCTCTCACTTTCATTTCTGCCATCCCTACAGGTGTGTCTTGATCCTCCCTTTCTTTTGAAGTTTATGTTTCACTAGCGACAAGTGGAACATGATATGTGAGTCTTCTTTGCCTTCTCCGGTAACGAACAAATCTCTCCGGTTCAGCTAGAAGCTCTACCAAGTCCTGGTCGTCTTCCAGTTGTCAACACTTGTAAAAATACTTTAGACACTCAAAATTTGATATCTGTCGATTTTAAAGTCCCCGGCAGCAGCGCCAAAAACTTGTTGCGTCCAAAAGCACACGCAAGAGCATGTGGTCACTCAAGTAGTACATCGACTCTTTCGAGCTGGATTATCGAACCCAAAGGACTTCAAATCAACAAATAATAACTTTATTGTATCTAAAATAAATTTACTTATGCGACAGACCATTTCAGGAATTTGTTTATATCTACTAAGTTGAACACTCTCAAAAATTAATTACTATAATTAAATAGTTTCAAACAAGGGAATTTCGCAATTTGGGAAAATATTCCAGGGTTGTAGCATATATCCTCATTATTAACTCACAAGGTTAATTTTACGATCATGATCTCCCGATCTCTAATCGCCTATCACCATTAGCAGCCTAACTACATGGTAGAGCGGGGATAAGCATAAACTAATGGCGGAGTATTAAGCTATCATCTTGTATATTAATCAAATGTGGCATATAGGTATAAGCCTATCCTATAAAGAAACACTCTAAGTTTTTCCCTAGAATGAACACGCTTCCCACATTCTTTGGTCTATCCCTCTATACGTCTTACGAGTTCAAGAGCGGACAATGAGTTTATTTTAATGTTGATCAATCATTAAAATAGTTAAACAGGAATGTAAGCATAAATCATATGAAAACCCATCTCATGCTAGAAACAAATATTATTACACCATCATCGTTGCTACAACTCTAGAATAAGGGAATTTAGCTACTTATAGAACAAAACATCATCCTATAAATATTCATAAAAGGGTTTACATGTCACGCCCCGAGCTACCCCCGAGACGTGGATATGGGACCTAGGACCACAAGTGATCCCAAGCTAACCCTGTTGGCATGATCATGAGCATACTAAAGATAATAAACTAATACGGAAGCTAAATCATAAATAAAATGAAAAGATAGGGAATACCCATATACTATAACTGAGATGAATGAAAACTTATAAGTTTAATATAAAGAAGATATTAACTTAATACTAAGCTGAATCTAACTATGTCTGAAATTAGCCTTTAAACTGACTAGAAATGTTGGGACATGCCCAAACTAGGTCTAGCAAAACTGAAACTAAAGACTAAAAGCGATAAAGATAAACATGTCACTAGTCCTCGAAGAATAAGGACTCACCACTAATGTTGTTGAACTGAAGATCGGGAACCGACCTAAGTGTGATATGGATGCAGAGAACATGAACCTACATCACGAGAAGATGTAGCGCACGTATACGTCAGTACTTGAAAGGTACTGAGCATGCAGGATAGAGTAAAGCTGAAATAACATATAACTAAACAAAGCAATAAAGCAATGAAATAATCTGAACATGATATAGATGTTGAATACTGAGCTAACTGAATGCAATGACCAATTTATAACATGCTGACGGATTACTGAATGAACTATAAAAGTGGTCAATGCAATAGAATCTGACTGAACTGTGGGAGCTACTAATAACCGACATAAAACCACATGAGCTAAATGTGGAGTCCGATGTATACGCCCCATTGAGAGGACCCAATATACCCAGCCAGAGGTATAGTGGCATGTTGGCGTGATCACTAACTGATGTTGCACACAGAGGGGACTTACACCTACGTGGCTCGTAGTTCTTGGACTATATGGG